TTTGATATCGTACATCACGTAAACGTTATCAGTAGTTATGGTGAAGAACGCCTAGGCTGATGAAGCATGACCTCTTGACCGGTAATTTGTATGATATTCTCCAACAGTAAAATTGCTAATAATTTTAATCACGTGTTTCTTTACACTGCAAATTATCTATTTTATGATTAATTTATTTGTCATTAGACATTAGTGCTAGGCATATTATATTTTTATCATTGCATTCTGTATCTAGTCCCTTGGAGATTTTCAAGAATTAAAAGAGTGTATAATAATAGTATTCTAACCACAACATGTTCATTGTACTTGATTCATGCTTTACTGAGATCAGAATACACCTAAATGGATATCTATCACATGAACTAGCCTTGTGACATGTGTTTATAACTGTCAACATATTGTCAAGGCAACCAGCCTTGGCTGCAAACATTTTTTAGTCTTGAAACAGGTATCTTTTGACTGAAATGAATCAGAATTAACGAACAACTGCTGTTTTATTCAATTGTGGATAACAGCCTTCCCTGTCTAGATGTCTAAGGAACTATATCATTGGCTTGAAATTGATTTCACATACTTCTAATGGCGCTTATAGACAATTCCAAGAAACCAACTATGATTGGGCAGCTTCGATTTGTCCAAATGTGTTCTATGGTGTGTAGCCATAGTTCATTAAGAGTATGAAGCATTTTGAACCCTACGAACCACTTCGAAGTGACAACTATGATAAGGTTTTGTAAGACTACTATAAAGAGGTTGAGTACATTGTATTCATTTTGGAACTTCACCACGCCTATACATTTCATGTCGCTATGTTTGAGAATGCTCAGTCTATCTGATAACCGTGTATTTTGATAATAGTCCTGCAGCGTAATTTTATTGCAAAAGGTTCTTCATAAGGCTGTCATATTCAAAACGCACCCCTTCTACCTGTAGACTTTCAATGATGCATCTAGAGTGTGAGGAAGATGTTTCCTCAATCCGTTTCAACAGTTTAATTGCACAGAAGTACAAACGCGCTGCATCCATCTACTTGGCCGGTACGTATTCATGTGTAATAGCGTGAATATTCATTTCATTTTCTAGCTGCTTTAGGCATGCGACTGTTGAACTTATATGTTGTGGAAGCAAAATGTGTTCACGTAACTTCTGTCGTATTTCCAGATGAAGGCCCTTCTTCATTATGTTGTATACTGTTTCCTGGAGTATGTGAACAGCTTTTACCACTGCATTTTGTGATCGTGGATTCTCCCAAGTTAAAAGACGTCATTTTTCTTAACATGATTGGGGTATGACTTATTGCAGGCCATTTTCTGGATGGTACTGGTATCCCAAGTTTATCCATATTTCTTTGCTTTCCAATGCCATTAAGAAAAAGGGATATTTTCATCTTGATAGTTCTCAATTCTCAATTTGAACATATATTTTGATCTCAATGTATGAATATTTTGCATCAGAAAGGGCTGTTAAATACCCTTTCCAAAAAGCGATAAATCTTTTTGGTGGCATAACATTAACTACACAACGCCAAACAATGTAAAATATAGTTCTGATACTTTACATTCCAACGCGGCTTTACATCGGCTGTGATTGTCACGTGATTTGCTGATTTGCATTTTCAAAATTGTTTTAATATAATGTACTCAGTCCTCTGTATATATATATATATAGGAGGAAATGAAAGACTAATCGTATGGATTTTAGATTACATGTTTGATCATCAGAGATCTCATTTGCATAACAAAAAATAATGAGTTATTAATATTGCTTTATAATAGTGCTTCTGCCTTGCAATTACTATAATACTCCAAATTCTGATTATTTGTTAATTGTTTTGTGAAGTTTTTTATATGGATTTGAGCTTAAAACATCTTGGGTGTTATGGTGAGTTAGATATTGAAGTGTTCTTTGCGGATCATTAAGTTCTTATGTTTAATTATTCACAGAATAATAAATATTATTTCTTTTGCGTAAGAGTTTTACCTCGAAATATTCATTTAATGCTATTCTAGTGTGCAGTTAGAAAGACTGTGTGGGTAATTGAAAGTACCTGTAGGACGAACCTTGTAACATACGAGGAAATATATTTTTCGTACCTCAGGGCACAGTCTTAGGACTTTTGCTCTTTTTGATTTACATCAATGACATAGATGAAAAAATGGTCAGTATATTACTTAACTTTGCAAATGATACTAAGGTCTTGGGTGTTGCTAGCTGTGAAGATGATGCTGCTGATTTACAAAAATATCATGATCATTTAGTGAGTTGGGCAAATCGGTTTTAATTATAATAAATGCAAGATAATGCATATGGGTTATCATAATTTGAATTATAAATTAATTTGTATGGGAATAATCTTAACAGTGTCATGAAAGAAAGGAATCTTGATGTAATAGTTGATCAGTCTCTAAAGTATTCCAAGCAGTGTGATGTTGCTAATGGTAGGACAAATATGATTTTAGGTTCTATCTACAGAAATATTAAAAAAAGCCTAGAGAGGTTATAATTTTATTGTATAAGTCATTGGTTAAGCCACATTTGGGATATTGTGTTCAGTCTTAGGCTCCTTACCTAAGGATAGACATTGAATTGTTGGAACGGGTTCAGAGAAGGGTTAATAGAATGGTACCTGGGGGGGGGGGTGAAATCTCTCAAATTGTTTTCTCTTGAAAAACGAAGAGTTTGGGGGGGGTCCGATTGAAGTGTTTATGTTTGTAAAGGGAATTGACAGTGTTGATGCGTCATTTTTATTCATACATAACAGTGAGAATAATAGGACTAGGGGACACAAATATAAATTTTGGTAGGGTAGGAGTCATCTTAAACTAAGATAGTTTTATTTTTCTAACAGGGTGGTTGGCCTGTGGAATGGAATGTCTTCGGATGTTGTGGAGGCAGTAAATTTAAGTGATTTTAAGAGAAAACTTGATAAGTATATGAACGATAAGGACTAGCTTTAAGATTTTTAGAATTGATTTATTAATAGTTTTAGTTTAGTTTAGAGGACGGAACAGCCGAGATGGACCAATAGGTCCTATGTTGTCCCAAAACGTTATGTTATAAATCAGGGATCATGCAGAGTGTTCATTCCATTGGCTTCTGTAAATAACTGTAAGTTTGTTTGTTTGTAATTAAGCACAAAGCTACACAAGGGCTATCTGTGCTCTGCCCACCACGGGTATCGAAACCCGGATTCTAGCGTTGTAAGTCTGCAGACATACCGCTGTACCACTGGGGGGCAATAACTGTAAGAGACTCTGCATAAGGTTACTTATAAATTAGGATAGAACAAACACTGAGGGTCACGGGTTCGAATCCCCGTCCCACCAAACATGTTCGCCCTTTTAGCCATGGGTGCGTTATAATGTGATGGTCAACCCAACTATTCTTCGATAAAATAGTAGCTCAAGAGTTGGCGGTGGGTGGTGATGACTAGTTGCCTTCCTTCCAGTCTTTCACTCCAAATTAGGGACGGCTAGCGCAGATAGCCCTTGTGTAGATTTGCGCGAAATTCAAAACAATTTTAAATAAACAACCGCTTTTCTGCTGCAAGCAATGGAAGGCACAACACATTGTAAAGTTTGTAACAACGAATATGTTATTGCAGCTGGACCATGTAAATTACTGCAACATTGAGGCAGCATTCCAGGCATAACATCATAAGACCAATACAGGATGTGGGCCATGCACAGCTGTTGCCGTCAGCAGATTTTTCAGAAAGTTCCAGGAAACATGGATTGTAGCTGATTATTTAAATTCTGGGCATCCATAAACATGAATGAACATTGTTTGAGAGACGATATACACCACCGAAACCTATGCTGCAGGATTCATCCATGGTGCAAATAGCGCTCGTTATATAGCACGCTGAGTCATTTTACCATGGTTAAATGTGCATAAAACTGTATACATGACCCTACTTATGCTTTCCTACATCATTCAGCGGGTTCAGGAAGTTGAAAGTGCGCAACTCCGAATCACAAAAAGCTATTTTTTTTTTTTACTTCTTGGTATGAATTGTTGTTAGTGACAATTGACTGTGGAGCATCCCATTGACAGAGGAGTTCCAATTCCCTCCTCATGGTCACGTGAATACCCGTGATTTGTTAACTAGGACATTGGAAATCCAGGGGCTATGGAATAATAATCCTTGCATTCCCAAAGGTCATCATGTGGTTTGTTTTATAAGGACAAGAACCTCTGAGCTAATAACAAGTGACTGGAGAACGTTATTGTGTGTTATTGTACACGTGTCATACAAAACGTTCAGAACTCCAAGGATATGTTCATGATGTCATATTTATGCAGGATGATGCTCTGCTCCATATTCACCACCTGGAATAGACATTGCTCATGCAGACTTTTGGTGAGGACCAGCTTCTCAACCACCATTTACACCATTCCTGACTACCATGATCCATAACCATCACTCCTGTTGGCTGTTGGTTACTGGCTTTTCTGAAATGCTTATTTTTTAAAAGAATACAATAACTATTCCTCAAGAGAAAGATGAATACTATTGCATCAGAGGTTCGGATAATTCGTTTAGAAAAACTGCATCCTCAAATATCCATAATATACCATTATTAAGATGAACACAGTAATAAAAAGGATGGCGGTAATGTTGAATAGCTGCTTGAAAACCGCCATCAAATTCCATCTTTAGAAACCATCTGTTTGTTATGTGTGCTGATGCCATCAACATTTCATTATTCAGATTTTTTTTATTTGTTTTTCACTCTCAGCTTTACGAAGAACTTAATATTTTGTACCTCTTTAGCAGTAACGATCCTTCATAGAAATCAGCTCCAGTCCTAACCTTTGATATGGTAATTACGCTTTAATTGTTTAAAAAATTTTTAAATTTTGTCCATTTTTATATACCTAGTCTTAATAAAACAGATGTTTGTTACGTTTTATATTTTACGTATTGTATTTTATTTTCTATTATCTATGAGGTGTTCTCTCTAATCCATTGCTTATAAGATTTCTATTCTATGTAGTAAGACCGGAAAATTCCTCTCCTTATATATGGGTTTTGATTCACAAGGCTAACGCAGGTCATTCATAATGTCCGACGATCTCACAAGCAGCGAGGAATCCGATTACTCTGTGTTTGAAAACAAGTCTGGACTAGCTGAAGACATGAAGTTCCTAGCGAGCATGCCTGAGCTGTGTGATGTCACCTTTCTGGTTGGAGAAACGAGGGAACCTGTTTGTGCTGTGAAGGCTGTCCTGGCAGCCCGTAGCAAGTAGGCGATACCTAAAATTGATCTTATTGATAAGAAATCTTCAAGTACAGCTCTTGTAAAATATATATGTTGCGCATACTCATGAATAAATTTCTGTTGCTATATTTGTAAGCCTCTTTGAAGTCATCTTTATCTCCATTATGTAAAGCAGTAACGATCCTTCATAGTAATCAGCTCCAGTCCTAACCTTTGATATGGTAATTATGCTTTAAGACTTTGCCAGCTTATGACAGATGTACTATGCAGTGCTTATGACGACATACTGGGCGCTACAGTCGTAGTTAACATTCTTTCTCACTCATTGAAATGTTCTCAAATTGATAAAAGGTAGTGTGGGTGTGTTTCCAAATATATACACGTTCTGAAATTAAATATATATATATATTTAACGTTAATCTATTCGTTTGTCACTGGCAGTAAAAGAATATAAAGACCGACATATATTGCTCAAACTAGTTTTCGCCAAAACATGGCAACAAAACTGCAAGGATTCAGTCTCAAAGGTTTAACGTGCAATATTTAAAACCTCTAGAACCATTAGGTTTAGCGCTTAGCTGCATCTACGTTCAAAATCGACTACCTTAATTCTCGGAAGTAAGTGGAAGTTTTTACGTACAATCCGCTTTCCCTGCTGTAGTAGCATCCAGCAGCTTAGGGTGGAATGTTCTAAGTGAATTGAGGATTTGTAACTTTTCCATTTAATTTTTTTATGGTTGTTTCAAGTTCTTATGTTACATAACTATTCTTTATATACCTTCTACTTATTCAATTCTGGCTTTTTAAATTTGTGCGCACGGAATATTGAAACATCCATACATGTACATTTGATGAGAGAAAGCCGTTTGTAAAATAAATAGTACTTCATTTCTTTCAAGATTTCAAAGGAAATTTTCTTCTGAGTTTTTAACACTTCGTTCAATTATAGACAAACTAGCAAAATAATTATCACGTCATGCTTCAGGTCCAATTATTACTTCAGAGCTAAATACACTGATGCCCAAAGTGGTGATTCATACGATGATGATACTTTAGATTTTAGAGATTTCGCCTCTTATAACTTTTGATAACCCTATGTCGGTTAAATATGTATATATATATACACAGAGATAAGCTGTTGAGTAACATTAAGAATAACAATGTGTCACTTTCAATTCTCTATAAAACTCATTAAGAATAAATCCGTACTTTGTCCAACCACTACCGAATTGAATGTAGGTAAACAGCCGAGAAAGAGTTATATTTCTTTGTGACCCATTGTGACTCACCAAGAGTTATCAAGAAAATACTGTTTCCTGCATATTTTTCTTAAAACAAAGAATTTTCTTCTGAATTTAGAGGAAGCGATTTCCCAGGGTTACTAGTATCTGTATGACAAAAATATATCTCTTTGAAAGTCGTCAAATTTCAAACTGTTGTTATTATGTACTTGTTCAGGACTGCTATAATTTTTACAATAAAATCGAATACCTCATAACAAAACCACTTCTTCACTCAAATTTAGGCCGTGCATAGCCAAATGGCTAACGTGCCGTACTTTGTAGCTGAACTTTGATGTTTGCGTTCCTTTAGCGTAAAAAATACCGCGTTTCGTACTTTGGTGCCGTGTTAGTTTATAAGAGAGACTGACAAATTTCACTATTTCCTCTGACAAGAGTATCCTGAGAGTTGGTGATGGGTGGTGTTGACTGGCCGTCTTCCCTCTAGTCTGTCACTTCAAAATTAGGGACGGCTAGCGCAGATAGCTCTCGTGTAGCTCGTAACGCGAACATCAGAAATAAACACTGAAAACAATCTAAAACCATTAGAGAAATTTCTGATTCAGTTCAGTTAAGCTGTTATACTGAACTATGTCCCCGGTGGTTCAGTGGTAAGTTCCCGAACTTACAAGACTAAAATCTGTAGGTCTGTTCTCCGTGGTGACTAGAGAGCACAGATAGCCTATTGTATACCTTTGCACTAAAGCAAACAAAATATAAAATTAGCCTCTAGTTTCAGATTATAAGATGTGGCACCGTATTTAGAAATAGGAGATATGCATATAGTTTGTAATTATGATAAGTTATGGCACTTAAGTTACAAATACAAAATATGCATTTAGTTTGAGATTAGTCTGCGGACTTACAACGTTAGAATCTGGGTTTCGATACTCGTGGTGGGCAGATCACAGATAGTCCATTGTGTAACTTTGTGCTTAATTAAAAACAAACAAATAATTTGAGATTATTGTAACTTATGGCACTTTATTTACAAAATCCAAAATACTAATCTAGTTTGAGATTATTTTAACTTATGGCACTTTATTTACAAAATCCAAAATACTAATCTAGTTTGAGATTATTTTAACTTATGGCACTTTATTTACAAAATCCAAAATACTAATCTAGTTTGAGATTATTTTAAGTTATGGCACTTTATTTACAAGAATTCTGGCTCAAAATATATCTCATCAACGATCTTTTTCGCCTCCAGGGTTTTCCACAAAATTTTATATGGACAACGTCAACAGCAGTCTGCTCATGAACCGTCTCCTAAAAAGAGAGACTCCATCAAAGACAACAAGCTCAGGCTTTTTCTGAAGCGAACCAGTGAGCCTAATATCAACGTCCAAGTTCCGCCGGTTAGTGTATATTTGTCATAATGTGATATGCATGCATACCAAACGTTTTGTACCTTTTTATTGTTATAAAGGAATTTTTCAAAAATGCATGCAGATGTATATATATATATGTGCAGTTTCCATACAACACGCTGGTCAGGAAAATCGTTAAATTACCAGCTACCTATTTGTTCTGTGTAATTTACCTAAGTAAAAGTAAGAGTTTTTGTCTTTCCGTGTGAAAGATAGTTGTAAGGTTGTATGTGACGGTAAACAGTCGTCTTTTCCATTGAAATCCTGGTGATATATATATATATATATATATAGAGAGAGAGAGAGAGAGAGTGGTTATGACCCCCCTTATGTTTCAGTACGAATGACCAGCACTTGGAAAACGCGATTTGCTCTGTGTATTGCCTTACTGATTTTGCTAAGCAAATGATGTATACTCAGTCTGGAACCAGCCTTGAAAGAGATACAGTTTTGGATATAGCTCTACAGTGAAAGGCGAAGGAAATACACTGTGTTTGTGTATTAACTAAAGATTACTTAGAGAACA